CCTCCTCACATTAAAAAAAAAAATTGTAATGAAAAACTAAAAAATAATAAATAAAATCGACTGTGAATTTATTATATAAATTAAATAAATAATAATAATAATAAAATTAAAACTCCTTAATGTCGGGGGCGGGGGGCGATCGACCCCCCTCATCCTCCCACACCCTCCCCAAACTTCATTTGTGTTGTTAAAAAAACACGACATTTTTCAATTGAATATTTTAAAACCGCAATTTCTTTTTCTTTTTTTTCTTTAACGACAATCGATCGATCGATCGATCGATATATCGATTTTTTTTTTTAAAACTCGGGGTTGTTTTTCATAACAAACTGTAATTTTATACCCGATGTGAAAAGAGAAAGAGAGAGAGAGAGAGAGAGAGAGAGAGAGAGAGAGAGAGAAACGATTTATCGAAGAAATCCAAATTGTGAAAAAGAAATTTTAAAAAATTTCATTAAATTATTATTATTATTATTATTACTGTTTCGTTCGTTCCAAACATGTCGCAATATATTTATATATATACATTTACGTACGATGGCACGCGCACAACCACACTCAAAGTGGAATTTAAACTTAAAAACGTAATAAACGTAGTTAAGGTGCGCAATATAAAATATATGATTCATTGAATGCATCAAACGTAAAAATAAATTTTAAGGTACGTTACGGAATGTCGATCGTCCGAAACCTAAATTTCGAAAGTAATCATAATAATAATTCGATAAATGTAAATAAATAATCATCATTATCATTTACGATGGTGGAAAAAAAAAAACCAAAAAGAAAAGAAAGAAAGAAAACATGAACGTAACGCAAAATCTTTTCATCCCTCGAAATAAAGACAGAGAGAGAGAGAGAGAAAAGGTAAAGTAAGGTTTAACATTAAGTAGATGCAATAATAATAATGATGATGATGATGATGATGATGATGATGATGGTGATTAAAGGAGAATACATTTTATGAGAGAGAGACGTAGTTGTAATTCTTCTTTCGAGTGGGAGGAGAAGGGGGGAAAGGAGTCAAATTATTCGCGGAATTCACGCCAACCGTTAAATAATAATAATAATAATAATAAAACGAGGATTCGATCCACGAATCGTTACCGGTTTTTCGTTTTTTTTTTTTCGCGGCATACCCTACGCTAGATTTCGGGGGGAGCCATCTACTATCATTTTTTTATGGTGCATCAACAAAAAACTTGTTCCTCCTCGGAAAAAAACAAATGAGACTATAACTTACGGCCATGTTCCAGAACGAGTCCTCGGGCATTCTATCGTTCCACTATTTCTATGCCAAACATCTAAATCCAATCCGGATCCGAGCCATTTTTTCGTTTTTGAATATTTTTCATTTGTTATCGATGAAGTCCTAGTCATTTTTTTTTTTTTTGTTTTCAAACTGTTTTATAAGATACCGCGAAAACGCCGTCGACGACAACAACAACAACAACAAAAACAAAAACGTCAAATATAGTCATTTGATTCGTATTTTTATTATGAATAAATAAACACAAATAATTTTTTTTCAACGTTTCACGAAATGCCCGGCTTGCAATTACGTGCACGTTGATAATAATAATAATAATAATAATAATAAAAAAGGTTTTGCTGTCGATATTTCACGTAATTTTGTTCCGCCTATTAAATTAAAAAAATAAATAAATAAATAAAAACATTCAAATCGACACGATCCCGCGAACCTTTTTTTAAATTAACCCCACGTAACTCGGTCATAATTATTATTATTATTATTATTATTATTATTATTATTATTATTAATTAAAAAATCAATGAAAGAAAATCAAATGAAAAATTAATTAATTAATTAAAGCCTAAATACAAATGAAAACTTTCAAGGGTTTTAAACCATACTGTATATAAAGTTTCGAGTTCGATTCCATTCATAAATCGATAAAGCCCCTTCCCTCCCTCCCTCCTCCTCCTCCTCGTCCTCCTCCCCCCGGAAAAAAAGGCATTAATAATCGCACACGCAAATAAATATAATATATATATATGTATACTAATTTAATGAATCAAAAAAAAAAAAAAAGGATAGAAATCAATGTTGACCCACCGCAACAGACGATACACACGCACACACACGCACGCACGCACGCACACATGCACACACGCACATATGCATACCGTTCAATATAACGTTACAGAACAAATAAAAAAATTACAGAGATTAATGTATCAGACGAATTAGAAATCCTTACGACAACAACAACAATAAAAAAATTCCATGAAATTCGTTTCCCAAACAAACATCTTCTCTTCTCATGAAAAGATTATGTGCATCTTATGCAAAATTATCCTAAGCTAACAAACAAACAAACAACAACAACAAAAAATAAAACAACAAACAAATAAAAAAAAACAATTTGAAAATCTCTTTTCTCTTCGCAAAAAGAGAAATTTGCAAAAGTTTTAAAAAATTTTCAAAACTGCCAACATAATCGAATCGAAAAAAAAAAAAAAAAAAGAAAAAAAACAAAAACAAAACGTGAAGCGCGTAATGTTAAATACGTTACTACGTTGTTCAAAACAACTTCCGAACGAAATACGGTATTATTGATGCCGATCAAATCAAACGATGACCGTCAAAAAGTATTTACAAAAACTCGCGTAGTGTTCAACGGTTAACTCGTAACAACAAAAAAAAAAAAAAAAAAATGGAAAACGGAATAAAAAATAATAATAATCAATCAATTAAAATTCTTTGCATCGATTTGCATAAATTTTTTTTTTTTTAAAGGAAAACGAAAAATAATATATGTCCATTAATCAATTTTGATTATTACGTAGTAGTAGTAGTCGTAGTCGTAGTAGTAGTAGCCGTAACAATTTCTTTCTTGTGTCACGAAAATTCTTTCTCTGTGAGCCGCCGCCATGTTTGTTTTATTAAATGTGCGCGTCCAAGAATTCTATTTTGTTTCGATAATACGTTTCGAAAATTTTAGAAAATTAAATTCGCGACGGCGTGCAATTGTTTCACAAATATGAAGAATTTTCAAAAAAAAAAAAAAAAAACGCTACCTAAAATTAAATTCAGGTACATCTTTTCTGTTTCTTTCTTTCAAATTACGCATAACGGGAAAATTTGTCCGTTTTGTCAAACCTTTTGATTAATTAATGACGACAAAAAAAAAAAAAACGATTTTAATTAAATTTGACCTTAACGATACGCTACGCTAAAAAAAAAAGGGAATTTATACGTCGACATGATTGTTTCCCCCCCCCCTGCCTGCCCCCAAGATTTTACGTTTTAAACGTCCGTAAGAATGCAAAAAAACGAGAATGGAAAAAATTTAATAAAAAATAACAGGAAAGTAAATAACTATTGGAAAACGACAAAAAGAAAAAAAAATGTTTAAAACTAGGTCATTAAGAGTAGTTTAGGCTGAAGGTATAGGTTTACAGAGATCATTAAAAAAAATAAAATATTTGCAATAATTTCAAATTCCTTAAATTACTACTACCAACTACTACTACCACTACTACCACCACTGCTGCCACTACTACTACTACCAACTTTTTAAATTTTCCAGTTTTTTTTTTTTTTTGCTACAAAAAATAAGGTTTTTACCGTCGCGATGGTAGCCTATAATGCCAACCAATATTTATTATTATTATTATTATTATTATTATTATTATCATCGAACATTTGACCATGTATAAGTAAGTAAGTAACCATTGCCAAATGTTGCCGTCGTCATTGACGACTAATAAAAAAAAAAAAAAAAAAAAAAAAAATTTAACTTTAGGAAAATTTTCTTATTATTATTATTATTATTATTATTATTATTATTATTATTATTATGAAGGAGGGACCTCCAAAATTAAAAAAAATCACCACGTGTGGTCCTCGTACCTATACCTGTTCTTGTCAGCACGTTAATAAAAAATTATAATGTGTGTGCGCGTGCGCAAAAAATATTTCGATTCGATTAATCGATGGTAACGTTTTCGAACAATTATTTTTTTCGGTTAAATTAACGGAAAAAAAAACTTTCCATCGGGATTTGCTCCAAATAAACAAACAAACAAACAAACAAAAACAAAAGCAGAAGAAAAAATTTTTTTTTCGATTCTCGGAAAATTGTTATGTTATACCCCCCCTCCCCCATCAGTCAAATCGATTGTAAAAACCGATAAATGGTCAAACAATACATTTTCGCGAGAAATAAATAAATAAATAAATCCTAAAACGATTAAATAAATAAATAATTAATAACAAAATTATTTAAATATCATTACATCACAAGTAATGAAACATTACTTGGCAAAAAAATAAAGAAAAACACGATGACAAGTTTTATTTTTATACGTTAACGCAAACGAAAACGGAAAAAAAGAAAACGCATTTCCATACAAAATAATAATAATAATAATAATAATAATAAAAGGGAAAACGCAGCTTGTGATAATCACCGGGGAGAAAGAAAAACAAACGCACAAAACGTACACACACACACACACACGCACGCACGCATAAAATGACCTATTTTTCCTCCATTTCCCCCCTCTCCCACCCGATTTCCTCACGCAAATGTAAATGATGTGGCGTTTTCATAATAATAATAATAATAAAAACCTAAAGTTCCTATATTATATTAATCGGTCGCGATTCGGGAAAATCCTTTTCTGACCAAAAGTTTACCGTTTGCCCCCCAAACCGGAACTTGATGACACCACAAACAAAATAATCAACACACACAATCCGCGCTACACTTTTCTTTCCGAGGATATTATAAAAAAAAAAAAAAAAAAAAACGCAATCGCGGAAGTTGGAAAAACAGAGGTGTACATGCAACTGATTGTTTTTTTTTACTTCTCAAAGGTAGTAAACCAATGGTATTGTATATGTAAATGGTGGGGAGTGGTTCTCTCTCCTTTTAAATGATAACCGCAACACAAACGTCAAAACCAGGATTTTTATCCATTTTAAATATAACCATCAGACCGGACCGTAAGAATTTCTTTTTAACAACAATTTTATTTTTTACAAAATGGCGAATCGAATCTAGAAAGTTCTTTTGTTATATTAATAATAATAATAATAATAATAATAATAATAATAATAATAATAATTATAATAATTATAACAACGCAAAAAAAAAAAAAAAAAAAAAAAACGAATAATTATTCCGTGTGATTCGCGTGTGTAAATCGTAGCATTTTACTTTCTATTTAACTGTTTTTTTTTTTTTTTTACGAATAACAATAATAATAATAATAATAATAATAATAATAATAATAATAATAATAATAATAATAATGATAATAATATTTTTTTCTTCTTTCGATATTTTTACGCTCATTTGATATTTATATATATATATATATATTTTTTTTTTATCCAAATCAAAATGTATTTGACCTTAGTTGATTTTTATACATTTGATTCGATTGCCAGACCTTCTGCTTCCGTCTTTCACCTTAACCGCACACGCACACGCACACGCACTCGCGCACACGCACGCACACCACACGCATTTATACCACCTTATATAAAATAATCCTAAATTTTACCAATGGCTAAAACGATTTGATTTTTCACACCTTTGACTCAAATTAAAAAAAAAAAAAGGGGGGGAGGGGGAAACGAAAAAGGAGGTGAAAATTGTTGAAAACATTAATGATAATGATGATGATGATGATGATTAATGGAGGGGTCAGTTTGAATTTTTTTTTTTTGTATTCTCACATCGTCACTTCGGGTTATTGTTTTATGTGATTTAATTATAAAAATAAAAATAGTACGTCCATGACATTATATATGTAATCTAACATTTTTAAATGTATCTCTCTCTCTCTCTCTCTCTCTCATGGGTATTTCCGCAATAATAATAATAAAACCATCATCACATCAAACGACTTCCTTTCAATCTTTAATAATAATAATAATAATTTTTTATTAGTATTAAATTTGCCACCGCGGATAGAGAAACAAGTTTCCGAATTTCTAAAACGCAAAAGAAGAAAACATTTAATTATTTCTTTTCTTTTTGTGCGTTCAATGTTTGTGTAAACAGTAAGTATAAGTATCTTCATTGTTTCTTTGTTAATATAATGATTCGTTCTAGTTTTGTTATTATTATTATTATTATTATTATTATTCCCAAACAATAAATACTACTGCTACTACTACTACTACTACTACTACTTAGTAAATTAGGTAATCTTTTTCATTAATTTATCATTAAACATGTTTTATCATTTTTTTTGAAAATAATGATAAAATTTGTTTTATGAAATCTCAAATCTGATTGGATTGTTTTATAGATTAATGTATAAAAAAAAAAAGATTGTAAATTTTCTCACTTTTGTGTGTGAGTTTGTTTGTTTGTTTGTTCAAAAATTTATACGGGGGG